CAAAAAGATTTAATTGTTTAACATTTAAATATATAGAATTTGTATAGAATTTGTATATAGATATAGAATCTGAATTGTTTTTCCTCTTATTAAAGATAAAAATATTTGACCAAAAAACACTATGTATATTAATTAGAACAAGAGCTTTAAAATTGCTTCGCATTTACGTAGCAAGATTGGCATCAAATACAACATGCGAAAAAAATGTATACTTAATAAATATTTAGTAATCTCGTGCTTTTTCTTTCACCTGTTTAAGCAAGTCGCTAAAGGTATTAGCCTAAGAAAATAAATACTCATCGCTAAATTGAATAAACGGCAAAAATGTTTAAGGGATGAAGACGATAAGGATTGGATCGCCAGCACGATCAAGCATGCCCGGAAATCCAGCGTGCACGAATAGACACATCTTTGAAAGAACAGTTTACACGCTAGAATCGCAAATAATTTTACGAAATACATATAAGCGACAACACTTCGGATTCCGCCGGGCATTATCTGATGATTACAAAAAGAAACGAAGTAGTTTTTTGTGTCATTACAAACAGTTTGTTATACGTTCATACATCCGGTTTCGATTTAAATTTTTATTGATAAACCTATTTTTAACACTTTGTAAATTTATCGCTCGTGGAAACATGGCTCATCGATCTCTATGTGATCGCGTGATTTTAATAGATAGCAAAGTCAAAATATGCGACATGTGCAAATCATGATCAGCATCTATCTCCATTTAATCATTTTTCGCAAACGAGGTGTATCGGTCGCATCTTGCATTATTATACAAAAACGTGACCATTGATCTTCGTTTTGGTCATCCTCGCGATGACCGTAAACGCCGCGCTCGTTCGGTTCCGGAAATCGCGTCTTTTTGTTGCGCGCTGCGACAACCTGGCTATCGATTTTCATTCGATCTATTTTCAAACCAATTCATGGCATACAGATGATAATATAGATAGATATATAGATATATAGATTGAGATTAGTGCAGTGCGTTTGACGACGCATTTGTTTTGTGCCGACGAGATACAGCAGCACACAGGATTTTTTTTGTCGAGATTGACGGCGCAGAGCAGGCATATCTTTCGCCTTCGAACGCATATCTTGGCATTTTCCGATATATGTAAGAATTATTTTCCGCGTTGTGTCATTTTATTCGTGATAATCTATAAATACGCGCTTGTATAATACATTCTACACACTTTTCATCTACATGCTAACGTGTAAAGTTTTTTTATCTTTTTTTTTTTTTGAAAGTAATCAAAATTGGGTGAGTGTAAAAGTTCGTGTCCGATTTATCATTAAAACTCAGCAACAGCAATTTGGTGTGTAAAATATTTTTATTAATCAATGATATAATCGCCGACGTTTTCTATAATCTTTTCCTAGTGTTTTAGTAACATACAGATGCCTCGATTATAAAACGATCTCGGTTTGCGTTTGAAGAAGGAAGAAAGATTGTTTTTGACGACTTCCAAAGATACAAATTTTTCCCATTCAAATCGTTTTACAATGATCGAAACACGTCATAATCTGATGATGCGATATCTGAAGAATACACAGATGAGTGTGATATGACATACCATTTAAGTTCCTTTAGTTTGCGCAAAGTCCACTTTAAATCTTCTGTATATCTAACCGAGGAATGTTTATTCCACGCGTCTCACAATACTTAGAAATGTTGTCTGATTATTTCCCGATACACATAAAGGATTCCCTCTCTATTATACGGTATAAGCGCGAGAAAAATAATCGTTACAAAGTGACGACGTGTGGAAAGTCGGAGGCTATCACAAAAAAGATAGAGAAATAAAGAAGAGCGTGATCCTATCGGAAGTAAAGACCGATCCACACAACAATCCTGGATCATAATGATCGTCTACGCCTACAAAGTTTTGCCCTTTTCGATTCTTTGCTATAGATCCTCTGGCAAAACTGGCTGAGCATAAATTTACCCACGCCAAGATCCGTGCAACTATACGCTATCACTATACTAGTAATATACTATACTGTTTTGGTACAATGATATCAGTTCATGCACATTTGCGTTCGATAAGCACCGAGTGATCGAGTCGCGATCTTAAAACAATAGCCAAAAGTTAATGAGCATTGTTTAATAAGATTTCATTAAGGAATAAGTTGGAAATATACATTATATTATGTGAATTACTGTAAATAAGAATCATTAACACTGTATATTACGTAGAAATAAAAACTTACAATTGGAATTGCTTATTGCATTAGAAAATTTTAATAATAAAATTAATAGGTAAAAACACAAATGTACTTTGTACAGTGTTTTTTTTTAAGAATTCCATTATTAAAGATATTGTTTGTTATATTTCTTTGTTTACTTTTCTTTTCTAGCTTTTTTAAATGTTTGGCAAAGTTTTGTTAAAAGCTCTATATATTATTTCTGATCAGCAAAGCTGATTTGCAAGAAGAAAATGGTGCAGCAATTTTATCGCGAGAATGAGCTCCTTTGGTCATTCGAAAGCGACATACATGAGAGCCGGTATCGTTAACGGCACATGATGTATTTAGAGTGTTTCTAGTATGAAGAAAAGCAACGCGAGCTATCTTGGCTGGCTCTCTTGTGTACAAGAGAGAGGAAGGGAGGGAAAGAGAAAGAGAGAGAGAGAGAGAGAGAGAGAGAGAGAGAGAGAGAGAAAGAGAGAGAGGAAAAGAAATTGCTTTGATAGACCGATACTTTTAATAGCTCTGAATATGTATATACTTTGCAATGTTTTTTTGTTACTTTCATAAAATACTCTGAAAAAAATAAAACTTTTATACACTCTTCTCAAAGACATGTTAGAAAAAAACTATTCAAGAATTTCGAAGATAAAAGATATTAAAAAATTCCAAATATTTGTTTAGAATAGAGTTTCTGAAATTATGAACAACACTAATAAACTTCAGTTTGCGTTCTTATTCGTAGAACCGTCACGTTGTGTGTTACTGAGTATCGTTCGCGGGAACCGCGGGATGTAAAGTTCAATTGTTTTTATTAACATCTCGGTGAAAACGAAAGTCATCGTGTATGCAGCAACATCAGAAAAACATTAGCGACATTAGCAACCCGCGACGGTCTTTTTCCAGGGGAGGGCGACACATGGCACGCGCGACCTCGATCGAGGACACTCGCCCGATATGAGAATCGCGGATATTCTTTCATATTACATCATCGCAGCACATTATGATATAAAATCTTGCTCCATCCAAAACAACTGCATTATACTAAGTTGTGATGCGCTAAAACGCATCAACTTTATGTAATCAGTACAAGTGAATATATATATATTTTCTATAGAACAATATAATTTTTTCTATAGAAAATGTTTGCAGTTTTATCGAAATGTCCCACTTAAGTGAGCTATTAGTTATAAACACGATTTATACATTGAACAACTAAATATTGCAAACGTTCAACTCGCAATTTCCGATATTTCACTTACATAGTAATATTACTTTAACAAGCATTGCTCTAGACTGTAAAAATATTTGAAATTATGGATTACGTATTTTCGGCTCTTAGCCGCTCGATTTACGTCACAAATAAAACATGCGTTCATTTATTACGATTGCTGTCGCTAACATTTATATATATATACAGGGTGTCCCAGAATAGCCGTACAATCTCTCGTAGGCAGATAGAAGGAATAAAACTGAGTCGAAAAGTCCTGAACCATTTTTTTCTATTATTTATAATAAAGGAGTAATTATTAAGTAAATCAGGCCAATCAGCGCAGACTTTTAGCCAGGCGCACGTCAGTAAGCGCTCACACACACCAGGCGTGCGGCTCACTGACCTGCGCTTGGCTAAAGGTCTGCGCTGATTGGCCTGATTTACTTAATAATTACTCCTTTATTATAAATAATAGAAAAAAATGGTTCAAGACTTTTCGACTCAGTTTTATTCCTTCTATCTGCTTACGAGAGATTGTACGGCAATTCTGGGACACCCTGTATATATATATATATATACGTATTTGTTTATATTTGTATATATATATAGATATATAAACAAATTTTAGCTTATATATATGTTCGTGCTATATAAAAAGAATTTGAATGATAATTTTTTATCTCCTCCAAGTCTAGATTGATTTGCTCATATTGCAAGTAAATAAATAGATACATACAACAATCGTGCTTAAAACTATTATCGTGCAAGAATGCTGTAATTTATTTATGTTAAGAATAATCATGTTGCTCAAGTACGTCGACGAACTATGTGTTGTGCATACACTCTAATCTATATCTCCGTAGAATACTCTTCCAGTTTGTGATTTAAAACTACTAATTGTAAGTTTCTCCATTCCGTGAATATTCTGGTGAATTTGTTACATAAATGTAAAGAATAACTACGACATTTAATGTGTGTTTTGAAACAACTTATAGAATAAGTTTTTCTTTCTCATTTTTATATATAACTGCTTAATTTGTTTATTAATTGATAGATTTAAAAAACAAACAAGAAAAATGCTGATTGAGTGTTTATTATGTGCATAATTATAACTTGTTAGCAAAATGCACAAAAATCACTTTACATAACATTACTACTATCATAACTGAATTGTACAACAAACATGACAGCGCTTTGCAATAACTTTCTCTGCAAACTCAAAGTGAACAATTACATTTAACATTGAGCACACTATAAAAAAAGTACTTATTATAAGGTAATGAAACAAAACGTTGTAAAAATAATGTACAATTAATAAGTAAGTTATTAATTATATATAAAATATTTATAACATAACTTAATATGTAAAACTTAGAAAACACTAATATAATAACAAATATGAAATTTCTGAAAGGGCAATCAATATGTACGTATAATCATTATAAAAGTTCTTTAGCGCGTTATTTTGTCATTATCTGTATGTTTTTCTTTCCTTGCCGTATAAAAATTGCAGAAAAATTACAAAAAGAAAAGAGAGATCGATAGAAATAAAAGGCGTGATCACATGCTATTAGTAATAGTGAAGACGTACCCTGTACCAAGTGGCCACCTGCGAGGCGCTCGAAAGGGATGGAGAAGCGGTGATTTATCCGTAACACACAACCGGAAGTGGAAGGTGATGGAGGGTCCGAGAAAGGCGCGTGTTTTTTGCGCGTTATTTGCGGTATTCATACGAAGGGGAGTTGCGCGCGTTCGTAGATAAGGCCCCACAACACGAGACGATAGTAGCACAGGTATGACGATTGGTGGTTGGTGGCGGGTGTGAAGTATATTTTCGCCCCCGTGCAAGGTGAGGCAAAAGCGAAAACAACAACAACAATAACACCACAGGTCAGAAAATACACGATCATTAGCGATTACGCGCATATTGAAAAACAAAAACTATGCACACATATATATATAATATATACAATAAATCTATATAAATATATATATATATATACAATAAAAAGTATAAATAATACAAATGCGCATACTTTATACATTGCTATCTTAGGATGAGTCTGAAGACATGCTTTCAACACTTTTTTTTTTTAAATACAATAAGTAAGATACGCCATATTATTAATCTATTTAGCTTTTAAAATATATAGACATATTTAAATAATTTTTAAAATCATCCTAAGCGCAGCTCATATATATACATATATGTATATATAAACACACATATATATATGTATATATACATATAGATGTATCTATTTATTATATCAACAAATATAATAGATAATTAAAATAAAATTTTGGATAAAAATTGAATTTTGACAATATAGGTATTAAAATAAGATATAATCGGTATCAGCATACGCTCTTTTTATTTTCATGCAAAAAACAAAAACAGACAATTCTGATATGTAATCCAATTGATGAACTCGTATATTGATACTACACACGTCAAAATTATTTTAAATATCCTTCACATATCTAATATAGTAAGATTTATAAAATGTATTTCTGTTCAAAAAATTATCAAAGATATTTTAATTCAAATTAATAAAATGTGAAGGAAGTAAAAACAGTAAAAATTACAAACTTGTTGCAAGTTTACAAACTCAACAAATTGACAAAAATAATGAAAAAGAGAAGTGAGAGCAAATATTGTAAACAAAGCAGGTGATTTATAGCGAAGAAAAGCTTAATACAAAGGACATATACATATTGGAGTTCTGTGCTGTACCTCCTGTGTTCCGGAAGGCAAGCATGTAGGACAGAAATACGACACGCGTGAAAATTCTTGCGTGACAATAAGCAAAAGAGAAAGAGAGAAAGAGAGAGAGAGAGAGAGAGAGAGAGAGAGAAAAGAAAAAGAAAAGATGAAAGACAGAGCTTGATAACTTTACAGAAAGCAATAAGCCACACATATTGATATTCTAGTCTTCTACTTCGCCTACAGAGATGAATACTCTCACTTATGTGAGCGTCCATCTTCGACACGCTATTGCACCAAAATGCGTCTAACATATATTTTTATGCGGTCATCAAAATTTCGAAGAGTCAAACAAAAAAAACACGAGGAGAGCGCGAAAGCGTTTGGTGAAATTTAAAAAGATTCAAAATAAATATTATTGGATAATTAACCCTTTATCCGTAGATACGAGTCTTTCCTAAACCTACTAAAAAATTTCAAATCGTTGTCTCTAGTAGGTATTAGTTTTGAACGACATTTTTGAAAAGTAAGTAAATTGTTTTAGTTTGAGCACTTGTAATATATCCACTAATTAATGGTTTTTTATAATTTTGTCAACATTTATGTACATTTACAGCAATTTATTAAGTTATGGCGCGCAGAGATTTGCGGCTACAGGAGCTGACATCCGTGGAATATTTGCAAAAAATTATCTTTTTTTATCTGAACGCTCATATCTTTGAAACTACTAAGCGCTTGGACACAGCATTTTGGCTAACATCCAATAAGCTTGCCAGTTCTTTTAGTTCGAGCTAAATTTTGACCTAAAATTTCTTGCAAATTTATCTTCAAACTTCTTTGATTGTTCTAAGCGTTTCTTGTCTTCCAAGTCAAAATCGTCACTTTTAAATCGTCTAAACTAGTATTTGCATATCTTAATAGATATGCAACTTAAATTTTAATAACAGTTCGCTGAGCTTCAGCAGTTTTCTTTTGATAAAAAAAAAAAGTAATAGATGTTGAAAATATCGTTTACCATACTTCGTTTTTACGCGTTATAAATAAATTTATGAACAATATAAATATTTTTATAACAATAATTCCGCAATTGTTATATTATATATGTGCAAAAATGCTATAGATAGATATATAACAAATGCAATAAAAAAAACTTACTTATTTACGTCATCTGATTGTTAGCTCTTAAAACTAAATGTAACACCTAATATTGTAACAAAGAAAATAAATAATAACAGTTGATCATTTGATTTTATAAGTAGATTAATAGAGTAAGCATTACAAAACAATAATTTTATACACGGTAAATGTCAATAGTTGCAAAAAAAAGGAAAAATTTGATTTGATTATCGTTTTTGAATCCAATGTACTTTTCGTGACTCTTAATAGTCTTAGAAAACGATTCGCCACGATAAGAAAAAACACAGAAGAAATTAAAAGTTTGCTCTCTCCTCGCTTCGAAAATTCATTATTACTCGCTCTAGCAACTCTTAATTTTGTGCTGTCTGCAATCTCATGAAATCGTAACATGTAAAGCGTTGCATGTTCTCAATGTACAGCATTGTATGCTATGTTTTTAGCCGCTCGAAGAACTATGAATGATTTTGCAATGACAAGAGCAGACGCGAAGAGAGTACAGAAGAGAAAAGCGGAGAAAAACAAAGAGAGAGAAAGAGAGAGAAAGAGAGAGAGAGAGAGAGAGAGAGAGAGAGAGAGAGAGAGAGAATGGAAAAGAATGGAGAGAAGTGTTTTTTGAAAAAAGTCTGATGGAGTCCTTGGGAGGCCTAGAGTAGCGATGCTCCGCGCGAAAAGCGGATATACGGTGATAAATGACAGATTCGATGGGGTTCGACCGTAATCGACGATTAATCGATACTTGGCGATCCTCGGTGAAATATACACGCGACTGCAATTTCCAGCGGGAACAAATCGCCCCGGGTAGCGCAGATACGAATTATAGTATACTGCGCATTCTCTCTTCTCGAGAGAATCGCGAGCGAATTTCTCAACGAAACGCGACCGCAAGTCGATGTATGTACGCGAGCAAGAGAGGCCGAGACACTCTTTCCCCATTCGTTTTGTCCGTCTCTCACGCATGCCGCCAACTCGCGCTAAATCGGGACTACGAATTATATTACCAGCATTTTCGATCGCGGGAGAATCTCTCAACGAAATACGTGTAATTATCGTGCGAAGGACTTGAGCGCGCAAGAACACCGAGTGCGTTGTTCTCTCTCTCTCGCGCGCGCGCGCGTGCGCATATATCCGATGGAGATGGTGAAACAAGAATCCGCCACGGGCTTCATAAATTTCCGACATAAGGATCGTTCAGCCAGAAATAACACGCGCGCAAGAGGTACGCGCTCACGGGATTTATTGCCGCGAAAGAGAATAATGCGTTTCGTTTTCAATTTATCCCCCTCATATTCTTACAACCGCGCAACCTGCCTGTCCATCCGTCTATCCGTCTGTCTCGCGCGCTCTATCTCGTAACCGGGAGATAAATTTCAGTCCAAGAGAGTGAATCGTTCGATCGTTGTTAAGAGGAGCATCGATGAATGCCTCGGCTCCGCAGGCTGTTTTCAAGGTTTCTCTCCGAGGAATATTTGAGGATATAGACGAGAAATTATCTGACATTCATGCTAAGAAGAGGAAGGTCGTACCTTGGGCAAGGACGCCAGACATTGCTGTTTCACGTCCCAGACCAGCTGATCTTTCGGAAACTGCAGACATTTACTGACATAGAGTTCGGGCACATGGATTCTCGCGAGAAGCACACCCTCGTCGACGGAGGTGTTTTCCGCTGAAGCAAGTGTGTCCTCCGCATTTTGTTGACCCTGACTCAGTCCACTCTGAAGATCGCCGGCCATCTGACCTTGAGGTTGTGTCACGGGCGAATTCTGTTGCTGTTGTTGTTGAGCTTGTTGCTGCTGGTGACATTGTTGCGGCGGCTGCTGCTGCTGCTTTGATTCTGCCTCCATTGCGAGAACCTTGCGGTTCCTGAGGATCCTACCGTCTCAATAGCTCACATCTAAAACATATCAGAATTATTGATAATATTTTATTTAAAAAATTAAACACATAGATATTGTGTTTCCCTGCATCGACACAACAAAGAATAAGTTGCGAAAAAAAACGAAGAAGATATTAAAATAGCTCGAATAACTCGATGTTTATGATGATATGATGACAGTGTAAAAAAATATAGAAAATGAAGCCAGAACGCAAGGCATTTTTTCAACACTCATAAAAGATTTTATGTCTCTCAATACGTACACTTCGCATTTTCATTGAATTTTTGAGAGTTTTTTCTCGTTTTTGTTCTCGCTTTTGGTCTCCTTTTTTTCTTTGTTTTTATTTGTATGCATCTTTTATTTGTGATATATTGTTTGCCTTACGAGAGTTGCGCGAGACGCGTAATCAAAAATCCGAATCAAACTGAATTTCCTCCACGAACTGAGTTTAAGAGTCCTGATTGCTGCTGCAACCCGAGAGTGTCCGTTTTTTTCAACTAAGACAATCCGTAATTTATATAACGCCAAGAACGGTTTCTTCTATACATCCCGGGAGGATGAGGAAAAGAATGACCGATCTGTTCGAGGCGCGAGATTCATTCGTTTTGAATTGATTATGTAAATTAACCGCGTGCGCTCACCTCGCGCGTCGCGTTCGACGTGCGCAGGGTCGGACACTGTACGCAAGATAATTCTCCTATATGGATAAATGATAAAAATACACGCTGAAGAAGAGTAATCCCACGTTTACATATGTCTATTATAATTTGATAGTTAAATAAAAAAATTATATTTTTATTATAAAAATAGGATAGACAGTTCATGTCGTTTGCATTGCGAGAATTGCGATACTTATGACATGATATAAGATAATGTAACTCATCCATGATCATCATTCTTCTTTGAGCATTTATTTTGAGAACATTTATAAAATATCTCTTGATCCGATCCTGCAGGATATACTTGCGAAGTCACGTTGCAGAAAATCTTTACCAGATATCTTGCCGAGATTCCTGTTAAATATATGTATATATTTTCGAATTCACGTTTACTATCGTGCGCGCGCGCGTGCGTTTATAATTAATTATATTATATTAATTTACACGTTTAAAAAATATATTTCACATGTACATTCAGTATTTAGCTTTTAATGACCTTACTTTACTAATAGTTGGATGCTAAAAAGAGTTTTGAATATTAATTAAATTTTGTATTTGCGCATATATCTTTACAGTTTGTTGCTTTAGCGATTTTAAAGTTTCGAGATAGCATTTAAAAGAGTCTCAAGACCCGTGAGTCACAATAAATATAAGAGATAAGATGAAACGATTTTTGATAATCTCGGATATCTATCTTTTGAGTCATCGTTCTTGCTCACGAAAAGATTTCTATAAACAAGCCTCTGATAAATGGACTTCTGTCCTTCTTCATCATCGTGATGAACCGTGCTTGGGTATGATATACGTATCGTCGCAGAGCAGACGAACGCTGAAGCACACTCGTCTTTATCTCGCACTTTACCTCGCATTTACACGCCGCCGCTCTCGTACGTATACTCGTCCCGTACATTCACTCGTGCGAGCAATAACGCGTTTCGCCGTTTTATAATTTTGTTTCCATGTCGGATTAATTAACGGCGACCGACGATAACAAACGTCTTAACAAGCGGCGCGCGCGATCGCTTTCACTCGAAAGTTTTCAACGCGATGAAAGTCACTGCTAACTTTTATTTTGTAATTTCAACATTTGCGTTGCACCGCACGGACTTTTTGCATCGCGTGCTGTGCAATTTTCCGATTAAGACGGCAGTACTTGCGTCATCTCTTCGATAGTCAAATAAAAGAAAAACTTTATGACGCGCCAGTATATATAAACATTTATATGTTAAGATATTTTCTCGTTTTTTTTTGTTTTTTTTTTTTTTTTAAATTAATTTGTTTTATTCTGTACTTCGCATAAGATAGTCATGTTCTTTGTTTTTATGATTGTAGCTGTTGATTAGCGATTGTAGACTGTCAAATGTGCTAGATTACCAACAAACAAGACTTTAACTTGTTCTTTTGACACTTGTTGTTTTGGCTGCTTGTTTGACTTTCTCCGACGGTTATTTACATATAGTTACATATGTAAATTGAGACAGAATTTTTTCTGAATGTTATTATAATTGACTGAAAATGGTTGAAATAAACGACCGAAACGTTCCAATTACGAACTGAGCATCTATCTTCAATTCCTGATTATTTCCTATGTTCACTGATATAGACCATAGCTTCATAAGTTTTTTTATTTAATTTTAACTTTTAACTACTAAAGATGTTTTTAAACCGCGTGTCAGTTTTATACCGACGTTTCGTGAACATTTCAGCTCACTTTATCAGGGTTTCTTGAGCAGCCTAGTATCAGGTATAAAAATGACACTAACGCGGTTTCAACCCGAAAAACATCTTCGAACTTTAATATAACACACCGCAAAAGCATCAAATATCAAATTATTTAAGCTTTTTACTTAGTTTTTAAATTAAAATTGTTTTTTAAATGATAATGAAAATTAAAAATTTTCATGTATAAACAAAAAAGAAAATCACTAAAGAATTTCATAAAATGAATAAGATGAAATCCTGAAAAGTATAAGTGTGTGAGATATCAAGCATTATGTAATGACTGACATTACATTATTAAACAAAGTTTTATGAATTTAAAAAAATAATAAACAACGCAAAATGTAAATTTGCGTAAGCTTATAGGATGCAGCGCGCACGTGAGCATACAAGTTTTGCTTTTGTTGCGTTACTAGCAGCGCACCTTTTTTTATATCGCACGCGATATTTCATAGTGGATTACAATGGTGTTGGAAATAATAACAACACATTTTTTCCAAGTGACAAATCGATTATCGCCGAAATTTAATAAGATCAACCGACAAAACCGATAGAAAAAAAAAAAACGAAGGAAAAGAAGAACAATAACAAGAAAGGAAGCTATAAGAAAAATAATAAAAAGAAACAAGAAGAAACAATGATGAACCAAAGGAGGAAGAAAGGACTTATGGATGCCTATATGGACGAACAGCATAGTGGACGGAGGGATAGACAAACCTAATGGGTGAACTGACCGACGAACGGGCGGGCGGACAGCAAACGCAGCGGACATCAATGACAAGACGTAAATCATAGTTTTATGACCCGTCTTTATGCGGCCCTTATTCGTGGCACTCATTGGTAGAAGAGAGCCTTTCAAATTTTTCTGTCTGGCGCCACCCTGTACTTGCGCGTTCAGGGCCGTATCGGCTAACTCAGTTATTGTGTAAAAGTATTTGCGCGTCAAAAACATCTCGCAGATATAGTATAATATGTAAACCGTTTCTTGTCAGCGCAATGCTTTGCACTGTGCGGTGCACATAAAAATGTTTTGAAATGATGCGTTCTTTCGTTTTCTTTTTTTTTTTTTTTTTTTTTTGTATTTTTTGTGTTTAAATAAGAGAAAAAGCGCTATTTAAAAACGTGTACATCTCTCTCAGCACGTTTTTAATAATCTCACGCTCTGTATCTACCACGTCTATAATCAAAAATCCTTCATAAATGTTATCATTCTTCATAAACTTTGTTACTTTATTTTTTTATGATAAAACAATATATATTATAGATATATGTTATGAAATAAATTGTAGTTTATACCGATACTGCATTGTAAATTGATAGTGTTAATACTGTCCGACAGAACTCAGACGTTACTGACGCTAGTATACTGAAGCGTTTCAAAATAATTCTAGTAATATCGCGAGAAAATATCTTCAATCCGTTCCTGTGCGTATGTAAGTGCGTTTATAACAGGTACCCGCAGTGTGGGCGTCGGTTTACAGGTTTGCTTTTGAGAGTGACCGTACCTTAATTCGCGTGGTGGTTAACAGTGTATCGAGCTTACCGGTGATCCCATGAGAGAAGATGAGAGACAGAGGCTGAGAGAAAGAAGTAACAATTAAAAAAATTCCAAGAACTACGCCGATGGAAATATAACCCGGCGACAAAAAAAAGAGGGAAGAGCGGATAAGTACACATGAGAAGGAGGCAGCGAAGGACAGCGCGAGGTTAAGGTACGACCCTGACATTCTGGATCTCGTGGACGTGGGTGTGCGCACTGCGCAACTTTGTTGCTGCACTTTTTCGAGAGCATCTTCAGCTCTCTCTCTCTCTCTCTTTCTACACCGGCCGTGCGCTGTGCTGTACCGCGGAGCTTCGCAGCGCGGCTGTATTATGTGCGCTCGTGCGCGCATAAAGGAATCAACGAATACACAACGAAGGCCTTGGCGATGAGAATGGTAGTGTATACGACGAGAAGGGTTATTTTTCAACGACACATACGGCCACGACGCGAAAAGTGAATCGTGCCAAACAGTATAACGCAACGATGCGTATAACACCTTTATCGCCTTTCATCCGCGCTTTATCACGCGCTATGTTGAGCTGGAAAAGCTTACGGGCTAATTGCTACTTTTATTTGATTAATCCCAATTTTAATCTTACCTCGCGATACGCACTGAAATCATTGGAAACAAAATATACGCCGACAAAATTAATATTTTTCTTAATCCGTAGATAAATAATTTTGTTTTGCAAAATAGCAGAGTATGTACACACAAACAAAATGGAGTTGCTTCAATTAAAGTCGACGTCACGGGTTGCCACAAAAATAAATAGTTCATTCAATTGCATATGCGATTAATTTAATGTCTAGATTCTTAAAGCAACTATCTGCTGTGTGTAGTGCAATAATATTGATGTTGCATCAACAGGATATATTTCAATTAATGATACTGTTGATTCAACATCATTTTGTTTCCCATGTATATATATATATATGTGTATACATGTATATACAACGTGTGTGTGTGTGTACGCATATTGTATGTATTTCATCATTATATTATTATTGTATTATTACATATAACGTTTCCTTTTTTTTGAAAAATATATGTAAAAATTTTAATATATAACATAATTCAATTTCATATAAATTTAATTGTGCTTTTTCTTTTTTCTCGATAATAAATTTTCGATACTAAATTACTATCTTGAATAACTAGCGAGTTTTTTAGGGTAAATATCGGTTTAGATAACGCATTATACTTTTTAGATGGTTTTGTATGACGATTCCGTTAGTTAAAGTTCGGGATTGCCTTCTTATGCGAAATACTATAATTATCGTTAATCATAAGCAAAATATATCATCACTTGCTAATTTTTCGTCTAATGCATAAATCATTGTGTTACGTCTATATTTCTTTCAAGTTTATGATATCCTCATTGTGACATTAATAATTATGTGTGGTTTGTTTTTTATTATGATCAATAGTGAAACTCAAAACTACAATTAAAAAAATATAACTACAATTTATTACAAAAAGCATCAATCATATTATGTATAATTATGTATAATCAAATTTCTGTTGGTGAAAATGTGTGATAAATACAAATACACGCGTGCGTAAAACTTTCAAATTAAAAAAGTTTTTTGCTATTACTAGCTTGACATTTATAGCTTATATGTTTGGAGAATTTATGTAATCAAGTATCGGAATATCGTGAAGTTTGTGAAGGTGGTAATTAGATAATACAGTAATATTGAAGAAAGAGAGATAGAAAGAGAAAGAGAGAGAAGTTTGTGCTGAACAAGCCTGTGGGCAAACATAACGAATTATATCGCATTGGCATAGTAATATAGAAATGCAGAAGAGAAAAGAATGATGAAAAACAAATTTGACATTCTGTTATAACTAAAAAAGAGAAGAAAACTTATGTTATTTTTGTTCTTCTTTTTTGCTTATTTAACTAAAAAACACCTGTTCTTATAGGAATTGTACAATTTGTTTTCTTATCTGTCTAGCATTCCAGTTGGCATTGTACATCCTAAAAAATTTTCATCACTATTCACATTATTATATACACGTAAATCACACAAAACTTTGGTACAAATAAATAATTCTCTTGTTCATGATTATATCATTTGTTTTTCATATGTAATAGTTGACAACAATAATTGACATCAAAAGTTTTAAGACAATATCATTTTTATTGAGAGACAGATTTCTATATATTTTCTTGAAATTCACTAATTTTACTACAAATGTCGAAGTTGTTATCAGTACCTCGAACATGACGATGTATTAGAAAAAGAAAATCGTAATGGTACGGTAGATAACGATATGTGTGCACACATAAATAATAGGGAAATAATAGGAAATATCTTAATTATTTATTCGAAGATTGAAAGGAAAGAAAATTAAAAATGCAGCGTGTCGAGCTTTTAAAAGTGCTTAAAGACTTGAAAAACCGTATATAATATATGATCATAAAATACTATTTTAATATTGATAAGATCTTTGATTTTTCGTTTCATAAAAAATGTTTATTACTCGAAATGCGCATATGTTATATCGCGAGTCCATCATGATAAAATTATTTGAGATTTATATGGTTAATACATTCTACATTTCTCTCGTAATAAAATAAGAAATAAATTTAGAATAAGAATTGTGATTTATAACGAAAAGATTAATCTGATGTTTTGTGTAGTAAGTAAATAGTAAGTTGTTACTATTAAAACGCGCGCGCATATCTTTGTTAAATTTTATTATAAATCTGGACTATTTTATTATTTTATTATTAGAATTCAAAAACATTGTAAAATATCGAAAATTCTTTCATTCTCAGAGTAAATTAATTGCAACTATGCTCAAAATAAATAAGTGACGCACGTATTTTAAATGATAGCTCTAAGAACAGCTGAGAATTTAATATTCTTTCAATGTTTTATAACATTGAAGAGAAATCTTGAAGGAACATCGGTCGTATAGATCTAATTCCGAGATAATTAAATTACTGTTACTAGCAACAGCTCAGGTAAAAGTCACTTGGAATTCTCGGAAAGCACGTGTCGATACCGTAGTCTCGCGACTTACTCCTGGTTCAACGACCCTCGCAGAGCCGATGGGCGAGAAAGAGAGCGAGCGAACAGGCACCAGAATTATCGCGTAATCTTATTGTCTTGTCACTAACGGTCATTGTCGAAAAAAACAAACTTAAAACCACCCACTATCATATCACTGCACCGCACCGTATTGTATTGTATCGTATTTGTCACTGAGTTGCAAAACACGCTTCGAAGGGTGTCGTACGTCTCAGCAATATGGCGACGTTACGACCCCCGATATTACTCGTCGCGTATTTCCGGCTGTAGGATCCGTCGCCTCGCGAGCGTCGTTGCGTCGAGGACGAGAATTTCGCTGGAGACGGTAGTTCTCTCGCCGGGAATCACCTTCACCACTTTTCGATCGCCAAGTGCACCATTACCGGAACAAGACAACGTTCGACAAGAGCGAAACATATAACGACCGACAATACCTTCGATTGCAAGACCGAGCGTTGCGGGGTGCATCGCGCGACTGCGGCGGGGGTCGAAAGAAGGGGGCACGTCTCCTTTCCTCTCCCCGTGAGAAGAGGATGACGTCCTCTCGCGCATGGGGCGGCGTAGATGGCGCCACGGCGCCGGGTGCCAGTTTTCAGAAGTTACACTCTGGGGTTGCAGGGGTAACTGAGAGAGAGAAAGAGAGAGAGAGAGAGAGAGAGAGGGAGTTGGTGGATGTTGGTCGCCTGGCAACGACGAGAGATCGACCGAGTGCTCTCTCTACGCCCCGTTTCTCTTGCCTCCCCGCCTTAGCGACCATCAAAGGGTTGGACACTACTCTCGCTCGTTGTTGTTTTCGTCGCTGATGCTGGTGGTGATGCTTTTGAACGTGTGCGAGAGCAAATACGTATCGAGAGTCGCGAGTGTATGAATCATTAGTCGCGATCAGAAGTAGAATATCGAAAGTGGAAGGTCAAGTGGAGGACGAGCGTCTTCAACGAGGTAACAAAGGGACGCACGCCGGTGATACATACCTAAATATCTCGTGTCATCAAATGATTGATTTTTATTAGAAGTAACGAAACTAGAATATTTAATATCGATGCATCATAAAGATGAATGAAAGATTTTATATTCACAAATATAAAGTCAATTAAAATTTCTAAGTGAACTATTTAATTTTAAACCATTTAATTTTTACACAATACACACAATGTTTTATTATATACGTCTTCTATATTTCTGAAATAATTATAGATATCTACTTATAAAGAATTTATATATCAAAATTTTTTTTTATTTATTTCATTACCAACATCGCGCTATGAAATAAAAATATGAGAATAGTGACAAATGCAACTACATTTTTTATGTACAATATTATCGATGATCTCGTGAAACATACGAGAGGAGGAGATTGTTTGCGTCCATTTTTACCGACAAACATACCAAAAATGGCGCGTGGTATCTCGCGTTGTTGTTTTAAGACAGCTTCGATCGATGTTTTCATTGCAATATCGACACACACACACACACACACACAGAGAGAGGGGGAGAGAGAGAGAGAGAGAGAGAGAGAGAGAGAGAGAGAGAGAGAGAGAGAGAGAGAGAGAGAGACAGAGTATTGTGGCGTATAAATAAATTTGTGGCGCGAGAGAAAATTTTTGCCGCTCTTGTCGATTTGTTTTATAACGTAACGATTCTCATTAGGAACAGTAATAGTGCCTTTTCTGACTGCAACTCTTTTCTAGAAGATCACAAGATAGATCGCTATCGTTTACGTTGTAACCTTAAAAGTCTTTGCAATCCTATGAAAGCAGAAAATAATGAATCGTTTAGGGACAAAAAAGAGGGAAATCCCGATGATTGTCGTCGCGATCGTTATGTGATGTATCGTAACTCGATCATACTGTCGAAGCGCAGCAATAATGTTCTGATCCGATAAAACAAAAAAGAAAAGAACGTTTATTTTTCTCGCGATTAGCAACTGCTATGCGGACATAATTCACACTTAAGTATCCATTATTGTCTGATCGTATAGATAATTATTATCCGTTAATCATTTTTGGAGCGAAGTGGGATGGAACGCGTGTATATGTACGAAATGTCGTCGCTTACAAGACATTTATCGCGAGTGACAAATATATCTTATAAGTGCTATATTTATCGATTATTATATGTACTTATCGTGCGTGCGTCACGCAACTAAAATTATATTAAATAGAAAATATAAATTATATATATATATATATATATATCAACTAAATATATCAACTACATATATATATGTATATATATATCAAAATTAGATGCATTTTATATCAATCTTTTAAAAAATACTCAAGATAAGTTTATAGAAAATTTTAGATATAATAATTTTTATCTTATTCTGTACACTTTTATACTTACATTAAGAAATGTACGTTAAGCTCTTAACGAGCTTAATGATATAATGAATTAAACCGGATCTTACGCGTAAAAATATGGTACAGACTTTACTTTACGTGACGTCAGTTTCATCATCATCTCGTTGGTGTAACTTTCACTGAGTACCTAATATTTTTTCTAAGAGGAAGGAAATAAAAATCTAGCGGCCGCAAGGTTCTTTCAGATTAGATCGACTCCAATTTAGCTCACTCGTGTTGGTTGGAGCTTTATTCCAGATTGACATAGAGAGAAAAAGAGATTGGGGGGAAGCTCGCCCTCTTGCTAGCTTTTAATCTGAAGGATGTGACGCTCTTCGTGAATCTCATCGCCCCTTTCAACGACCGTGCTGTTATACCGGAACAATTTAGTATCGAGGACGATGGAATGGCCATCCCCCATTTTTATCAATATTATTTACATTATGAATTTAATTGTGACTCAACCGGAGAATAGAAAGTTCCGGAAAAAACGGAACTGTGTTCTGTGTTCTCTTCCGGTCATCATAAACAGTTCTTATTAACTTTTGCAAGATATATTTAAGGTTGAGTAAAAATATACATGTCTTGCAATTTCGCACTCAAAATTTCACATTCACAATACACCAAAATTAATATACGGAAAAAATTATTCAGAGATGATATGTGCGTTCACTATTCGAGAATAGTCAGTCTATTAAGTTAAAAGAATAGGACAAGAGACGGGACATTGATAGACCAGAGGTTTACGTAAAAGACAAGTTTCTGACAATAGGCTGCGTTCGGAAAAACCACTCGGTGCACACAAGCGTCAATCTATCTTTGTTTTATATTATATTTTTGCAATAGAAATGTAATCTTAATGCAATAGAAGATAATCTCATTATGTCTTTATATCATATAGAGATGTAAAAACGGTCTTTTAAAAGCGTAGCAATTAACCCTCAGTTATCCCACGTATTTTGACTCCCGTTGATATTCTACCAGAATCAAAATGGGACAACTGATTTTCTCGAACTTGTATCTCCGGTATAATGAGGATTATTAAAATGTTTTGTTACATGAATCTCAAGGTTAAATAGTCTTGAAGACAGTGTTAGATTGAAAAGAATGTTTTTTTGCATTTTCTTTTTATCAATAGAAAATAGTTTTGGTAACAAAAGTTTTGGAAAACATGTTTTGTTTTAAAAAAAAGTAATTTTGTAGTTTAAAAAAAGATAAAAAGACTCTTTAATGTACCAAAGAATAAAGTTCAAGAGTTATATTGCAAGGAAAAAATGGTGTCGTAACGATCTATTTCAAAAACTTTATATCCCACCAAGATCAGAAAGACACAAATTTTTCTTTTTGGCATTCTCCTTTCGCACGGACTGAAGCTGGCTACAAGGTGGATATATACTATGAATCATTGGCTCTGTTCGGTTATTACTAGCAGTACTGAAAAATCTATAGGTTCACGTTACGTATCCTATAGATTTTTCAGTACTGCCGGTAATAACCGAACAGGGCCTTTTTCCTTATCTTCGTTCCAGATCCGCTCCTCCATCTACATAGGAATGGCGCGCGATTTAAAAAGGTAATGTTTTTTTTTTATCCACGTGAGATATCTCGTGGGTTAAAATCTGGAATAATACTTCTAATATAAAAACCGTAGATTTAACTGATTATTTAAAAAGATTTATTTAAAACTGTTTTACAGACACTTACTGGATAGTTGCTTTCAATTTTCTGCTTGAATTGTTTTATAATATGTATTTTTATATCACTACTTTCGTTTTCTATACATCTCTTTTAAATACTTTTCTTTTCTTTTTGTTTGTACTTATATTGTAATAATTTTTTATGCTTTTTATCTGTTTGTTTTAAATACTTTTATTCTTATCTTTTGCACTTAAGAAAATTATATTTCGAAGCATTGTTAATAAAAACTGCGTCTCTCTCTTTCTCTTCATCTAAGAAAGAAGCAGCAGTTACAACTTTGTATGGAAGTTCGCACATATATATATATAGTACGTGGAAGTATAACGTTGATATACGTATCTCTTTACCATGTGTTCATGCGTGAGTATTCGTAAGCGGGTGCAGGAAGGAAGGGATGTGGAGACAGACGAAGAAGAGAGGGAAAGATAAATGAGTAAAACCGCATTGTGTAGGTGTGGGTAAGCGGGGACTGTAAATATCTGCTACCTCGCGCACAACGGGGAGGCACGTCCGGTATATATATATATATATATATCGCTTTATGCACGCCTCTGTCCTATCATGTTGATATCTATAAAGACCGGATTGAAGGATTGTGAGATGTAAAAAATACTCCACTAAATTGATAAATTATAGCTATGTTAAATCAGCCATAAAATCAGATGCGGAGTCGATCTTCCGCGGAGATGAAAGAAACCAACTGTAATACGATTTAAGTAAGCGTCTTCTGTCTATATATAATATTTATTGATAATAATTGCAGTAAAAAGTCTTTTTAGTCATTGTGTGTACCGAGGATTTTGGGAAATATGTATATAAAATATCAATTATTTTCAACAATCGCTAATCGGAACATACACGTGTCCAATAAATCTTTGACAGAATGATGGTTAAATCGCGCTTACTCTAACAAAAAGTTCTAATAGCTATTTGTCGTTAAGACGAAACTCGCTTGCAATATATATGTGTACAATGTAAGAGATTGCGTCACATTGTCGACTGAGAGAATCGACTTCGAGGCAATTCGAGACCCGATCCGAAGAACTGACGTTCCCGAAGGGGGCGCGGCACTTTCTCTCACCAGTGTTTCAGAGCAATGTAAAATCGAGGAAATCTTGCTACAAATCCTCGCAGACATTTTGCTCCTTGTTGCAGCCGTCCTAACCGACGACGTCTGGCAGAAAGTTGTTTTCTCGCTTCACTTAAAATTCAATTCATTTAAAGTGGAGTGGTTTATATTTGTAATTGTCTGCTTAGAGAGAGTGGCTTGGGGGGCACATAAAACACTTCATTTTACGAGTGTATGTAAGAAATTATATATCATCTTTAATGATTTTACTAAAATAACTATAAAATTTAACCGATTTGCTTCTATCATTCATCTGGAAAATTGTGCATATTACGCTGGTTTTTT